AACAAGCTTTCCCTGTACCCCCCCACCCCCCCACCCCCCTCCCCCTTGCACTTAAAGCCCTTTTCTTCATACTGTAACTCTGTATTCAGTTTTTATCGTTGATAGTATCAAAGGTTTAAAATGCCATGCAGTTTCTTGTTAGGTCCTAAAAATAATTTAGCAATGTGAAATGCTTTTGAAAAAAAGGTCTTTGTTTTAATGTTGTTTGGCACAGATGGTAATAGAAGGTTAGTTCGTGCCTTTGTGCCCTGTGTAAGCCATAAGGTAAACGGTAATAGTCTACAGGACTGTTGGCCCTATCTTGCCTCCATAGTCTCCAGTGTCAGCCTTGTATTGAAAAGTAAGATGGATCGCCACCATTTCTTCTCCTCACAGTGCTTCTTGTAACCCTAGGTTCACCCGAGGAGGCCATTGGCGGAGAGGCGTCACGTGACCACGGGGTGCCAATGTTATTCTACACGGGTGTCAAGACCCTGTCAGTTTCTGAAATAAATATTGGGAAACGGCGAGATGCAAAAGGCAACCTACTACGACAGCTCCGCAATTTACAGTGGCTACCCATATCAAAGCGCAAATGGCTTCAGTTATGATGCCAATCAGGTCCAATATCCCCGGGCCTCTCATGTGGAAAGTGAGTACCATCGACCTGCCTGCTCCCTGCAGTCTCCTGACGGCTCCGTGGCGCTGCAGAAGCCGGGGGAGATGGCGGAGGGCTGCGACAGGACCACAGCCATTCAGGCGGCGCAGTCCCAGGTCCATCCCGAAAGCAATCAACCGCAGGTGCCGGTGTCAGGTCCGCCCCCTCCCTCACAATCCCCCGGTGCTATCAGCCAAAACGCGAGCAACGGATCCAGCCAGCCTGGTGCCAAGAACGACTCACCGACCTCCAACGCGCGCGGCAAACAGATCTTCCCCTGGATGAAGGAGTCCCGTCAGAACACCAAGCAGAAACCCACCGGTAGCACCAGTTCAGGTACCTGGAACCTAAACACTGCTGCTACTGACACACACACACACACACACACACACACACACACACACACACACACACACACACACACACACACACACACACACACACACACAGAACTTGATAGCCCCTGACCGCAAAGTTACATAAGTGTTGTTGAGGGAGCACAAAATACAGTGTGGGTGGCTGAGCAGGTATAGGAGGGAGGGGTGGGCAAATCCCAACAGGACAGCAACAGCTCATTTCATTTCTGTGCCAGTGTCAGAGAGCTCCTTGTTTTATTATATTGCACTATATTTATATAATCTTTATTAATTCTGTAGGAAACATTGTTCACAAGAAAAGGCCCACAGGGTGTAATCAACACCTCATATCACACATGAACAAGTGCTGAATCTATTGTATTCATATTCACTTTGTAAAGGAGATTGTTTGTTTTTTTTTCAAATCTTTTATAGTCTTATTAACTTATCGTTTATCTCATTCTCCAAAGTGCCAGTGAAGACTTTATACTGCAGGGTTTATTCACGTGCCTCAACATTGGAAGTAGGTTCCACCATTTGTCGACTCTGTGCCCTGCATCTGACCTGTCCCTACTGTAAACACGCACCTCCACTGATCACATAATGTTCCCGGAGAGACAACAAACAAACACGCACAACAGTTGTTCAGGTTGTCCTGCTGTTTTATTAGTGGGAGGCTTTGTGGGTCAGAGGGTGGCGAGTGTTGGGGGTATGTTTATTTATATATAACCAAATTAAGAAATTAGAGGTGCTTATGACCTCTTCCCACACATTTTGTGGTTTATAGTTATATTAAGGAAATAATTTTAGGCTACGTGATACCTATAATGCAAAGTAGCACTGCATAGTCACGTGTCTTCATTTTGATTTATGTTTGGAAAGGCATTTTCATTACTTTTTAACAGCCCGTAAAAGTGCTAACATTTATGGAAAGCTCTTTACGCACGTTTTACGCACGTTTACGCAAGCCACATGCTGCTGTTTTGACGAAAGGAAAACTTGGTGGGTCAGAGTGGGGAGTTTGTGTTTTAATGATCTTCACTGAAATAGACCTAATTTAAATTTAAGAGATGCTATTTTCCCAATTATAATTTTTCGCACCAACTGCAAAGCATATTTGGAACATGTAATCCTAGGGTTCCGTATATAGAACGTTTGTGATTAGTTCTTGACATCACAATGAGGTGCAGACATGTATGAAAGCACCTTTAAGCACAGTTGCAAATCCTATTTGGGTCAGGATGGAGCTAATCTAAGATTCAGAGTTGCTCGTTTCCATAGATTTTATAAATTATCTGGGCATTTTTGTAACGATCTTAGATTCAGTCACCCACAGTAGGAGCCTGAAATAGGACGCAATATGGCGCCTTTTATTATGTGAAGGTGTTTTCATACATTTTTAGCGATTCTAAAAGCGCTACCGTTCATATTTTACGCACGTTTGGATAACGACCTGGTAAACGTCAGGCGGGTGGGGGGTTAGTTATACGCCACCAATAGATTCAGAGATGCTCACTTCTTATGGTAAGTTACATTTACTCCTCTACAGTGGATGGAGGCAAAGCAGTGTCGGTGGTGTGATTAATGTCTGTGCAAGTGTTTTTATTAGTTTTAACAACACGTTGAGGTGCTGACATTTATGAAAAGCAACAATAATCCTGCATTTAGTACAAACCAGCCTCTCTTAAAAATCATAACTATAGCCTTTAATTCCAGATTTTATTGCAATAATCACTGTTGTTAGCAGTGATTGTCCTACATACAGTACGTGGGAATCCCTAATGCCACGTGCTAACTTTTTCATCTCTGTAACATGAGGTCAGGATGCGTCGGCTGCATTCCTCTTGCTCCAGGTCTAGGCGACAGGTAGGGAAATTTATTAAGTGTTGGCCGTCTGCCACGGCGGTAAGTAGACCAACACCTTGCTATTCTGCAGCCAAGCTCCAGCCCTCTTGGAAGGGGAGGCTTATCAGTGAGGGCAAGGCGAGCTGCTTTATACACCCCGAGGAATACATAATGCTTGTGTTTGCATTACGCGTGTGCTCGCTGTGTGACTACGGGGGAAGATGGGGGTCAAAATGTTTTAGTGGGAAATCTGAGGATACCTGGCACCAGAACCAGCACTGACTCACTACCCTTTTCTGCTTTGCTGTAACTGTAGGTGCAGTATGCATACATTGATTGTTAATTGTCTCATGGAGCCCTGATGATAACCCTCGTGTTTAGCAGGAGGGTGTAGATTAATCAAAATGTTGTGATGTATTTCAGGCGCGCACATACACATGCGCAGTACTGGAACACATATTTATCTAGTAAAGTGTTCCCCACCCTTTTTGATGGTGGGGAGGTTTGTTATCAGCTGTGTGCGTGTTGCCACACGGTATTGCTTTCACTCTCACTTTCCTGCCTCTACCTCTGTACCTCTCCCGCTCTGTCTGTCTGGATTACTGACTGACACCCTCCTCTCCTCCTCCCTGACAGTGGAGAGTTGCCCCGGAGACAAGAGTCCTCCGGGGTCAGCGGCATCGAAGAGGGCCCGGACAGCTTACACCAGCGCCCAGCTAGTGGAGCTGGAGAAGGAGTTCCACTTTAACCGGTACCTCTGCAGACCCCGGAGGGTGGAGATGGCGAACCTGCTCAACCTCACCGAGAGACAGATCAAAATCTGGTTCCAGAACCGCAGGATGAAATACAAGAAGGATCAGAAGGGCGTCGGTATGATGCCTTCCCCTGGGGGACAGTCCCCGCGGAGCCCCGTGGGCCCGGCCTCCAGCGGTGGCGGAGGATACCTCAACTCTATGCATTCTCTTGTAAACAGTGTTCCTTATGAATCCCAGTCGCCGACGTCTTACAATAAACCGCATCAGAACGCGTACGGTATGGCCACGTCATACCCCCCTCCTTTGAACAGCTCCCTCAACAACTGCCCGCCCTCCCAGAAGAGGTATCCCGGGACCGACTCGGCCACGCCCGAGTATGACGCGCACCCTCTCCAAGGCAATGGCAACTACGGGACGCACATGCAGGGCAGCCCCGTTTATGTCGGCGGAGGCTACATCGAGTCTATGCCCAACTCCGGGGCCTCGGTTTTCGGTCTGACCCACCTCCCGCACCCGCCGTCCGCAAACATGGACTATAATGGAGCAATCACAATGGGCAACAGTCAGCATCACGGAGTGTGTGATCCGACACCGACGTACACAGACCTTACGCCGCACTACTCTCAGGGAAGAATCCAGGAAGCGCCCAAACTGACGCATCTGTAGCGGTGGCGCAGCTCGGATCACTCCGCCCATTGTCTTACCCACCTACAGACACATTACCGCTTTGTTTCTGCGCCTCCTCACGGCTTCCACCTCCTCTCCGCTTTTGTTTATGTTTTCTATAGTTTTGATGTGTGAAGTAGCGTAGGATGAATAATCACGACTTGCTTGGATTTTTCTCTATTTGCTCGTGTCATTGTCTTTCAAAGACCTTTATCTGGGCTGTAGGACTCTAGAGCGGGAGGGAGGGGGGGCACAGTATATGCATAGGCCTATTTAATCTTTTTGTTTTTTTAAATCTTTTTTTTAAAGCTGAAACGCAAACAGGGTATTATGAACGTATGTTAGTCATTTTTAATGTGAATTTGTCCGTCTTTTTATTTATCCGCAGTTGAAGAATTGTGTTATGCATTTTGTTGCACTTGTGAAAGGATCCTTCAGGAGCCACGAGCTCGGATTATGAGGGAAACACATTTTCAAAAAGAAAAAAAATCAAGGGTCATGAGTTTAAACGCAGCCCCCTTGTTTTTGTTTGGTTCTATTGGACTTTTTCTAATGTTATTTATTTTGTTTGGTGTTAAGATAAGAGTCCTTTAGTATTATTTGACACCCCTGCAATCGTTGTGTGGGGAGAAGGTTGATGGATAGTAGCGTCTCGGCCCTCTACATGTAGTCTGCCGCTCCCCAGCAGCAGCGGCAGCAGCACCATGTTGGTATTATAGCCTATGTTTCCATTTTTTTTTCTTCGAGGAGGTATTTTGTTTTTCTCCACCAATGTAAAATCAATCAGTCATGCAATAAGTGTGGAAGGACAAGGGACACACGTTAGCAGTTTCTTTATTGAAGAAAAAAAAGGAACAGACCATCATCAATTTTCTTTTCGATGTCATACATTCCATGCTGCTCCAGTTCGAAGAAATGAATAAAAATAATTGAAATATAATTGTAGCATATTCTTCAGTTTTAAGTCCAAACGCATCCCATCACAAAATCAAATACAAAGCAGCTTAGAAATAAAATTCTAATATTTAATCATTCAGTTTTATTATTGTTAAAAATGTCATCCTGGTATTAAAGATGATAACAGAAAAGCAAAAATACATTTAGGATAATAACAATGATTATTATAATAATAAAAAAATGAATAGGACAATCTATATGTTTGTTATTTACGCACACAAAAAAGTAGAATTATTTGCCATAATCAACATTCAGTATTCTACATTCGAAAAGAAATGGCTGCAGATAAAAGCTCCTCAAATGTTTTTTCTCTCCTCTTGATTCGACGTGGAGAAAACTCGGGTGGCCCTCTCCCCTCCTCTCATCTGCGTGGGCACATCCATAATAATAAAAGAAAAATGTCAGCCGGGACCTTCTGGAGATTCTGCAGGAAGACAACAAGCTAAATGAGAAGTCGTTTGAAAAATAATTCCCTGATATGTGCAGTCAGTCAAATGCGGGCATGGCTATAAACCGGCTGGATTGGAATCATGGCGGGATCTTATTGGTCTCATTACGCCACAGATTTACAGATGCCAACGTTAAAATCCAGGATGGTTACAGCAAAGGAAATTATTAGTGGAAAACTAAAAACCTAAACGAAATATTCCTTTGTGCAATTTACTGAAATGAAAACGCTGTGTAGAAATTACCATACATTTATAGAATGTGGACTTATTTTCATGATTTGCAGGTATTTCATAATATTAATGAAATTCCCAAATACAATCCAGACCCCCTTGGAGCAAAAATTCTTCTTTTGTTTTCGAATATCATTTAGATTTCCTGGGGAAAATTTGTCTTTAATTTGTTGGGTTTTACCCAGAGTTTTCTAACATTCTTCTCAAATGAGTAAAAAAAAAACCCTTTGTGCCATGTTCAGTCTTCATGACTACAATATGTGTGCAGTATTATTTGTTCTCACTGATTTTGCACCAAGAACCAATTCCCAGCCTAGATCTGATTGATATAAGAGGACATGGACATACTAACCCTGACATATGGTTAGCAGGGAAACCTAGAACAATTGAACCATGGTGTGTCAAAGCAGGAAAAAAAAACTGATGCCTCGAGTATTTCTGCATCCATCACACACACACACACACACACACACACACACACACACACACACACACACACACACACACACACACAAATACACGCACACACACACAGCAAGGCAATGATTTGACCCATATGCGCCATTTACGCAGGTAAGGCAGACACACCGCGTTTTAACCAAAGCAAGGATATGTTTTTCTTTCATTGCACTTCTATCCATGGGAAAGTGCTCCTAAATCACTCCTGCTGTAAAAGACAAGTGTGTAGGACAGGCTGGGGTCCACTAAAAGCCGCCACCCACTCCTCTCCTTGCACACAAAGCCTGTGCGTAATTCCAAAAAAGCCATCCATCTCTCCCCCCTGGCAAGTCTGTCCCTCACCACACGATCAGCTCCGTGCACAAACCTGCTCGTCCACCAAAACGACAAATACTATATTTTGTAAATACCAACTCACAATTCAAAGATAAAAGCCAGGTGGAGAAGCTTCACCCTGTACTCACCGATGGCACATTATCGCCTCCCCCCCAAAAAAGAAAATGGTCGCATCTTGTGGAGCTTATTTATCTATTAAAACATCCCTCCAGCGACAGCCTCGGCTATAACTGCGAACAGAAACTGGTTCTAATCTGAGTGGCCAGTGTTTCTCGCCGCTTCCTGGCTGCATTTGATCCGGGGGAGAGTTAGAAGCCTTAAATGTGTTGTGAGGGCACCGAGCTGTCAGACCTTTTGGCGAGTAAGATTGATCGCGCGCAGGCTTCCAGGACTCTTTGTTTGGTATATAAGCAACAAACTGAGAGAGAGGCCTACCACTTCTCCTCTTCCTCTCTCCTCTTACTAACCAAGCCTTATTTTTTTTATGCTTTATGAAAATAAAACATGTGCAGCTTGACGAATAACATCCCAAATATGGCTTTCACAGATTATTCTGGAAGAGCTATACAAACCAAACGCTGCAGGGTAGAACCATTCAATAACAAATCCATCGAACACTACAAATGTACTCGTTTTACTCGGTCGATCATGAAGGTGTTGGTGTTTGCTTATAGTTGCATTCCAGGTATAGAGCTGATACTGGAAATACAGTGGGAAGCCTCTCTCAGTATTGTAGCCACTGTGGTGCTAGAAGACCCCTGCTATTACTTTTGGATTTTTCACTTTCAATGCAATAATTGAGAAAATTCAAAAATATTAGGATGGTGTTCAAAAGAGGGAAATAATTATGACATCTTGCTTGTGGAAAAAATCTAACTATTGCAATCACAAAACAAAGACTTCCTGTGTGTTTGAAGCTAGTCTTTGTGATAATGTGCGCAAACATGGGCGCGCATGACCTCCTGAAAAATGTGACCTTATGTGGAGTAAACGAAAAACACCTATGTTTTAATATCACATTTCTACAACCGAAAAGAAACAGCCTGTAATAAAACACCAGTGATTGTGAATGCGAATGTATGCAGTGTGTATCTGCTACTAAGTTTCCCTGCACTGTTTGTAAATGTTAAACTGCTGTTAGGGGATGAAATGGCCTGAACGTTGTCATATCCGTCAGTATTAACTTAATGGATGGGCGTTTTATTACAACACATGTCGATGGATGCGCAGCATATTTCATTATTATGCACCTCTGAAGAATCACAGCTATTGTGGAGACCACACTCACTGAGCTGGGCTGGATTTTGGGGGTTTGTTTCTGTCCAGATGTCTCAATATCAGTTTTTTGGGGTTTGTTGCTTTTTCACCTCTGGAGCCTGCCTCTTGCCTATATGAATAGCTACTGGCGTGAAATGTGTGTGTGTGTGTGTGTGTGTCTGTGTGTGTCTGTGTGTGAGTGTGGTGGGGGCGTTCTCCACTGACATCCTCAAACAATACGAGAAAGAGGAGTGCACGAATCCGCGCACCCTAGGCTGGGCTCCTTCCCTGTAATAGTGAGCGTCAGCCATTCTTAAAAACACACATTTTGTCGCTTAGTGGACTGGACTGGAGGGGCCGAGAGGAGGATAAACTGAGCGGACAAAGATGTAAATAAAAACAGTCGTCTCCCAGCAGAGCGAGGCGTTCTTCATCCGAGTTTTTGGATCAATCAGGCAGACACTGGCTTCTTTTGATTAAACCCCAAATTGTCATTGGGCAGAGGTAATCATGTGACAGGCAATTCGGTCCAATTTCAACCTTGTCTCCATGAATTCAATAGTTTAATAGTAGCTCGGTCCCCATACGGCCGTAATCAGTGATATAGAAAAAAACCACCACGAGATTTTTTAATGATTTTTTCTTCCTCGTCCTCGCTGAGCCGCAACATTTATAAAAATACGCGTGCAAACTTTCCTCGGCTCTCAGGGAGCGGAGATGAATTACGAATTCGAGCGAGAGAGCGGTTTTATCAATAGTCAGCCGTCGCTTGCTGAGTGCCTGACATCTTTCCCCCCTGTCGCTGATTCATTTCAAAGTTCATCAATCAAGAGCTCGACGCTTTCACGCCCGACACTGATTCCTCCTCCCTTTGAGCAGACCATTCCCAGCCTGAACCCGGGCCATCCGCGGCACGGCCGGCCCAGACACAGCCCCGACGGATGCAGCCAGCTGCCCACCGCCTCCTTACCCCCGGAGTACCCCTGGATGCGGGAGAAGAAAGCCTCCAAGAGGAACCACCTGCCAACCTCTACCGCGACCACTATCTCCAATGGACCCGTGTGCTTTTCCCCAAAAGGTGGGTGATTTCTGCAGCACTTTCTGCATAACTCCTGTTTAGTATCTGTTGCTAAATTTCTGCCCTGAGGCCCTTCCTTAAAAATACATCAACAAATACAGCTAGAATCGTTCGGTTTTGAAAGATTTATGACCATTGTTGAATTGTGTATCAATGGAGAAAAAAAGTTTAGGGTAAAGTTTGGATGATGCTAGATGATTTATTCCTCTAGTCGTAGCAGAGTTTTGATGTGTGACAGTAATGAAGAGTGATGGAGTGCCGTTGCCGAGGAGGGCAGCTGAAGCATTCATTAGTATCCCACACCAGCCCGGACCTCACTGCTTTTATATCGCACCGTGTTCGCTTCACACTGAACATATTTTATGCGTAAAACGATCTGATCGGTATCTTTACGCAGGGGTGATTTTTAGATAAAGGGTGAAAAGGTTTAAGAGACTGGGTCAGTAGCTCCAGCGGCCATTTTGCTGCAGCAAAGTGCCTGAGCTACACTCTCTCTCTCTCGTGGTTTCAGACAGCCTCAGTGCTAGATTCACGGTCGCTGACGGGACTTATGCAACTGTTGTGCCCTGCGTTTTAATCCCTTTCTACCGTGGTGCTTGTTTTCCAGGCTCGCCTGAGATCGTGGAGAGCGCCGGGGGAGGAGGGGGCTCTCGACGGCTGAGGACGGCGTACACCAACACCCAGCTGCTGGAGCTGGAGAAGGAGTTCCACTTCAACAAGTATCTGTGCCGGCCGAGGAGGGTGGAGATAGCGGCGCTGCTGGACCTGACCGAGAGGCAGGTTAAAGTCTGGTTCCAGAACCGGCGCATGAAGCACAAGAGGCAGACCCAGAGCAAGGAGAACCACAACGGGGAGGGGAAAGGGCAAGGCGCCGAGGACGGAATCCACAGCGACGAGGAGGACGAGGCCCCCCTGTACGAGCGAAGCGGGGCCCTGCTGGAGAGAGATACCTGCTCCTTTCAGAACAACTCCCTCGGCTCCGCGCAGCAGCTCCACAATGGAGAGTCCATGGGCTTTGCTGCTGCGCCGCTGAACAGCAATGACAAAAATCTGAAACATTTTCCCAACCCGTCACCCACTGTTCCGGGCTGCATGTCAACAATGGGCCCTGGCTCTGCATCTGGCCCGGACAATGGAGACAGTCCCCCGGCCCTGGATGTTTCTATACACGACTTTCAGCCTTTCTCCTCGGATTCCTGCCTGCAGCTCTCCGACGCGGCCTCACCGAGCCTGTCAGAGTCTCTGGACAGCCCCGTGGACATTTCCACGGACAGTTTCTATTTTTTCTCGGAGTCCTTAACTACAATCGACCTGCAGCATCTAAACTATTAAACCAATCACAATAACTTTTATTTTCCTTTCTCTTGGGACATTAAATATCAGGCTACGGTGGTATTAACTCTGATGTTATTTGTATATGCGGCACATTTATTCTGTTGATATTTGACTGGCGATTAATTCAAGGTAAGGATGAAATTGAATCACTGAAGTAGCTCTACTCCAACGTGGCTTGTAATTACCATATCAAAATGATCTCTTGGAATGGAAATTATGAGTGTATGTGAATAATAATACAATATTAGGTCTATGGAACCTGCTCATTTTTATTTTTGTATAGCTTCCAATGTCTTGGATATTTTTGTTAGAATACAATTAACTTGCTACGATCTTTTTTCTCTCTGGTGTTTTGAGTAATTTCTTTTTCTATTTACAGGCTGAAGACTTATCGACTATTTGCATTATTCATGTGGAAAAAAAATAAAATATGCAAAATAAAAGAAGTAGGGCACAGGAAGATAGAGACCATATGCAAATCCTAACAACAGGTTGGTAATGAATATAAAAAGTCTGGCCCCGCACTGAGTTGTGAAGGCACACACTCGTTTGAATTGTACTTGTATTGTATAATTTAATTTTCAGTGAAATTAATTTTGTTTAGTGATAGATAGAATACCCTGCCTCTTCACGAAATAACCACGAAGTCAATTTTCTTATTTGAAACTTTGAAGGTGAACTTTATAAATGATCAGTATCAGTACAATTACTATAAAATATCTGCAAATTAGCTGTTAATTTGCAAATTATTAGTGCTAATAATTTTGAGAAATTACTTTTGAAAACATTTACATTTTCTCAGGTTAGTCAAGAAAACTTTAGACCGTTTATAGGGAAACTAATATAAATTATTTCTGTGCTCACCCTCAAACTTTAGGAATAAAAAAAGTGCATATAACACCAGCACGGATCTTAAGCATGACAGGGCTCTTAACACTGTGTGCATGTTGCTGGCGAATACCGGAGCCATGTTTGCCTTCAGGAGCTCATAAATCACTCCGTGGCATGAATGAGGCGGACATTAAGGAGACCAATTGTGGCGTAATGTGCACAAATAAAACCCCACTTACATTTTCATATGGGACTCCCCAATTCCTACGCTAAAAGGGGCTGAGTCTCTGCGTGCGTTTGGTAATAATTCATTTTTATAGCTTGTTTAAACACGGCTCCTGGCTCGGCGACAGCGGCACCAGTAGCAGCCCCGCTCAGGTTAAGAGGCTGCAAGTCTTAAGCCCGTGCATAAAAGTAGATCCGAGTCAAAACAGACTGAATGAGATTGACTAAGAATAGCTCATTTAACTGTAGACTGAGAATCATTACTTTTGGCTAACTTTGTCTGAAAGACTTAGCAACACTATTGGTGCATCAGTTAGTGTTAAGTTATCTTTGAGTTCAATATAGGATTATGGTTGCTCTTGCCCTATTGTATTGCGCTTGGGTTGACTTATTGAAATCAGTAATTAGCCCATGCACAGCTTTCCTCAATGAGTTTTTCCACTTTAACAGATGTGTGTGTGTGTGTGTGTGTGTGTGTGTGTGTGTGTGTGTGTGTGTGTGTGTGTGTGTGTGTGAACAAGAAAAACCACCGGTTGCGACACATGGCCTACATGCGCCGATCGATTAACAAACTCATCCATACGTGCGCAAATTCATAAACTCCGTGAGTCCAGCGGTTTATTGAATAATCTAGAAGCCATGAACAGCCCATCGATTGGCTGAACGTTAGTCTATATTGCATGGGAAAGTGGAGAATGTGGGTACATGCGACTGTGTATGTGTGTATAAGGAGTGGGGTATATAGGGGTAAAAGGAGGGGGCTGCTCCTGCACCAGCACTGCTTGATTACAACCACAAGGGCCGGCGTAACCAAATCATTCCGAGACAGCGCGCCTATTCTGAGCACATGTGTTCACACAAAGAGCCAAGAGAGCTCCAAGGCCAGGCCTGGCGAAGTTTGCACACAGAGACAAGGGAGACAGTGGGTCCTCTGCGCCCACTCGGCCGCAGAGGCAGCTGGGAAGACAGGGAAGGAGGGGGAAAGGAGAAGGGAGGGGGTGGGGTGTGTAGTATTGACCCCTCTGCGCTTTTTTTAAACTGGTGGGAACTTTGCTCTTCACTTCCTGTGTACACACAGATGAAACCTTCAACCTGTCCATCTATCTTTAATCATAAGCTTATTGATCCACATGGGGAGTACACAATGAATAAAAAGAATAGAATAAAAATAGTATACCTGTATAAGACATTTGAATAATATCTATCTATCTATCTGTCTGTCTATCTGTCTATCTGTCTGTCTGTCTGTCGGTCTGTCTATTTAATCGTATAATAATATAATTAATATTATTTGACCACATGCCACCAGAGGGGGCGCTCATCTCTCCATCCTATACTAAATTCCTCCCTCCCTTCTCCCCTCCTTCTTCCCTCCCCACTCTTTTCCTTCCTCAGTGAGAGGTTGGACTCGCTGCTGCATGTCTCCCTCCCACACACATACTCTCTCCCCCTCCCTTCTCTCTCTCTCTCTCTCTCTCTCTCTCTCTCTCTCTCTCTCTCTCTCTCCTCTGAGCGCTTGCCTTTCGCGGCCATCCATTTCTCTAACAGCTTGATTTGATGAACTTAACAGGATAATCAGCCCACACTTGCACCTCCGGCTATATACGAGCGCATTATAGCTCCACGACGCATTATCAGATCATTTGATCATTATATACATGCATAATGAATACATGTGGGGGCAACATCAGAGTATAGCCCATGATAGTAGACCTCATGACCCCGGCTGAGGCAAAAATTAATACCACATCATCTTAATGTCCAATATGTTGTCTTGTCGTTACATCACCTGCGACCCCCCAGCAAGTGTAGTGCCAAACATCTCTAATGCGACCTTGATGAGGGAGGAACACATAGTTATAAAAGAGCTGAAATACTTTTCTGTCTGCATGTGTCTGGAGTGAAACCTCCCTGACTCTCCTTCACTGTCAAACTGGGGCAATATTTGCTGAGCAAATCCCTCACAGTGTTAAAGCGTGAAACAGAGGAATGGGACACTGATAGCCCTCAGATAGCCTGTGGCAATGACACGCACGCAAACACACACTCACACACACGCACGCAAACACACTCACACAAACAGACAGACACAAACACTAAGCCATCCATCCAGGAGAGAATGACACTATGCATATGACAGCATGGGCTAATACAGTTACACACTGGTCACACATACACACACACACACACACACACACACACACACACACACACACACACCTATTCTCCTAATCCAAAAATAGTACCTGAAGGTCAGGTGAGGTCGTCCACTTGGAGAAAGGTTGCAGCGTTAATCTTTCCACGGGCTGCAGAGCACACAACATGGGGTTAGAAGACGCCGTGTGTGTCGTTCCCCCGCTCTCTATGCGACCCCGGAGCTGTCCGTCGCCGTTTGCCTCCCAGCTCATTGTTTGCTCGGCTAATACATTAGTGGCGACGCGCGTCACCTTGATCGACGAGCGCCTGGAATTTAAATAGCCACTCAAACACCAATCTGTCACCGGCTACGGGGATAAGGACAAGTGTCTCACTGGCTGACCCGGGCCCACGTGACGGCACCCGTTCATTGATATCGGCCCGTGCGCCCCCCTCCTTCCTCTGATAAGGACAGAGTATAGGTAAAGGTTGGCACGGTCACTCAGGGTAAGAGAGGAGTGAAGAAGAGATCAGAGGGTGTCTGTAGAGACGGACTGTCCCTCGGTCAAGGTAGGACAATGCTACAATGAGCAGCTTCCTTGACTACACGGTGATGAGCGGCGAAGGTGGCTCATGCTCTGTCAGGGCTTTCCACTCGGACCACGGGATAACAACTTTCCAGTCCTGCGCAGTCACAGTTAACAACTGCGGCGCGGATGACCGTTTCATGGCGAGCAGGGCTTCCCCTGACGGCATTCCTCACCAGCCGGGGTCATACCAATCTACTGCGGGGTCTCTGGGTCTCGCCTATGGGGCCCACCCGGCCTGCAGCTCCAGTTATGGACCCCAAAGTTTCTGTGCTACGTACAACCCCTACGCTCTCAACCAGGAAGTAGACTCCACAGCTGGATTTCCTCAGTGCGGCCCACTGATGTACTCGGGGAACATTTCCTCCCCAATGGTCTCTCAGCATCGCCAAGGTTACAGTGCCGCCCCCCTGGGCCAGCTGCAGTATGCCCACGCTGCCTACGGTGGCGGGCACGAGCAAGCAACCCCTTTTCCCGGGTGCTCAAACCCGCTGTCACCTCTGCACGCAGCCCACCTGGAGGCTTGCTGCTCACCTCTGTCTGAGGCTGCGTCTTCTGCACAGACCTTCGACTGGATGAAAGTGAAGAGGAACCCACCAAAAACAGGTAGGTGCCAAGTGGTACCAATGTCACTGTAATATCTGTTAACATCACCTGCTTAAAAGTGACCCAAACTCTAAGGGGTGCGAGAGTTTAACCGTGCCATGTTGTTGAATTGAAATTGGACACTGCCAACTTCATAATTTGTTGTGCTGTTATGTTATGTGAAAATACTGAAAATTGAAAATACATCACATTGCGCAGAGAGGCCCAGTGGCAGCAGAAATCTTATAGTATTAACATTCATATATTACATCCTGTCATTGCTTGACTGCTGCGTAAAAGTTGCTCCCATAAGTCGTTGATGTGTTGTGCGCAGAGAACATGCAGGGCAGCTATTTCTTTTCTTGCAAGTTCACAGTGATTGTTTTCTCTGTCTGCAGGCAGGTCCGGGGAGTACGGCTTTGGGGGTCAACCGAACACCGTCCGGACCAACTTCACCACCAAGCAGCTAACGGAGTTGGAGAAGGAGTTCCACTTCAACAAGTACCTGACGCGGGCACGGCGCGTAGAGATCGCTGCTGCGCTGCAGCTGAACGAGACTCAGGTGAAAATCTGGTTCCAGAACCGAAGGATGAAGCAGAAGAAGCGGGAGAAGGAGGGGCTGCTGCCGGCCAAAGCCTCAGCCTCCGAACCGGGAGAGAGCAATCAAGAGAAAATGGACGATGCTTCATCTGAAAAGTCTATCTCAGCCCCGTCTACTCCTTCTCCCACATCCTCCACGCTGTCTTCCACGGGGGCTGATCCTTACTCTTCCAATTAACCACTGCCTCTTTACCTCTTTGGGCCACAGGCGGCCTGTACATACCAAAGCTCGTGTCCAGTGTATCAAAGCCAAAGTTCAGCTTGATGGATAACTTATATGAACATCCAGAATAAGTTACTGCACTATTTGGAACTTTGGACAATGATATGAACAATTCCTTGGTCATAGATTTGTTTTATATTGTATAACAAGAAAATTGCTGTCCAAGCAAATGTAGGTTGTTGTTTCAAATGTGTCCACTTTCTTTTGAAATTAGACATTGCGCTAAAACTATGGTGGTGCCAAAGATATCCAGCACCTTGCATACTCTAGCCTCTGACTGCTGCTGAATGGACCGATGTAAAGTCACAAAGACGCACACACAAACAAATACCTCATATGTGCCAAAGTTGTGCGTCATGGCCACGGCCAGGCTGATTGCACTGGATGTCGTCAATTAGGCATCACACAATCAAGGAGATGCCCTCGTTAATTAATCGTTATAGAGTGCATTGTTATCGTAGCCCTTAATCACTGTCACTTCTGTGTTCCAGGCCTGTGAGTCTGTTTGTCGCGACTGTCTGAATGTCTTATTGTGTGAGATTTGCATGATGCGTAATGCTTTCATGTAATATAAGCGGGACGCTGAGTTTTATCAGTCGGGGGAATCGGGCATTGTTGCCATGTATGTCCCAGGCTTTTATCTGTTGTCTATTTAATCCAGTGGATCACATGCAACGTGGTTTGTCCAGAGAGACGTTTACGGGTCAATCATGAGTATTAAAGTGCGTTTACCTCTAAAAACTCTTCTCGTGTCGTTGTTGAGGTGCACAGTCTTTGGAGAGACAGAAGTAGACAGAGTTTTCAGATTAATTTTACGCACATCCTCCACTTAAATCCACCCATTGCAAAGCTCTCTCCGTGGCTTCACTGCTCCTGGAACAGCACGTTGTCTGATTCAGGCATCACAGAGTCTCTCAATGTATGCGGCCACGCGCCCTCCCGTCCCTGGGGGAAAGCGTTATTGGCATAAAAAACAGCATGTTTATCCATGGAGGAGATGAGGGCGCGTCATTTGAGATGACAATCTCATCGAGCCCTCGGCTTATTGAGGGGACAAAAAAGAATCTCGTATTGATTAAACATCGAGGTTAGGCTATCGACAAGGATGGGGGGGGCCCACTGGCCCTGTCAGCGTAAACTCCTCAGTTCCCCCAAGTAACATGGAGGTGTCCTCACCTGATGTCATGAAGAAAAGTGAAAACATGCAGCACAGCCTGTCACATCTGCACTAACCGACACTTCAATTGGAGCAGTTATTCTGAGATGCCTGGTGTGTGACTTTGTACGTTTTTTATATAGATCCATTAAATCATAGAATTGTGTCTAAGCCAGACACTGAAATTGAAATACGGTTTTGTCTGATATTTTCAACGTTACCTACATCCCTCTGCTCCATTTTCAAACCAAAGAAAAGGCGTCTCCTGCTTCTGTTGCTATTTTAATTCCTGGTGTGCAGGATGCGAGTCCATCCTGCCATAAAAGGAAACACGCGTGATTAATGAGCGACGTTCACCTTTTACCTGGCGTCTACCTGCAGGAGCTGCTCTGTTGGATCTGTGGAGCCACGAAGCTGCAGCGCTCTAATTCACTGCAGGGAGATCAATGAGTGTAAGTTTAAATGGAAAGTCTTTTTTTTATATTAATCAAATTACACCGTTAACGTGACGTACCTCGTGTTTTTCTGCTTTCAGGACAAAGGCCGCACCTGTAACGAGGTTGGTTGTGAAACAGCACAGACCCTCATTGTGTTGTTTCGGTGTAAATAGAGACGAACGAGACTCGTTGCGAAGGAGCCTGATGTTAGTCTGAAAAATCTGGATGAGAATGAGGTGATAGAAAATCTCTTATTTACAGAGACAATAATGATGTTTATATCTGTACAAAAACGAAATA